CAGTATAAAAAGTACTGAGTGAAAAAATTTTCGTAATTTTTACGTAAAAAGGTCTTCTTTCTGGTAAAAATCACTATGAGCAACCGTTCGTTTTGAAGAGTAGTAACTTTTCGTCCATAGCAGTATAAAAAAGTACTGAGTGAAAAAAATTTCCGTAATTTTTACGTAAAAAGGTCTTCTTTCTGGTAAAAATCACTATGAGCAACGGTTCGTTTTGAAGAGTAGTAACTTTTCGTCCATAGCAGTATAAAAAAGTACTGAGTGAAAAAAAATATTTCCGTAATTTTACGTAAAAAGGTCTTCTTTCTGGTAAAAATCACTATGAGCAACCGTTCGTTTTGAAGAGTAGTAACTTTTCGTCCATAGCAGTATAAAAAAAGTACTGAGTGAAAAAAAACATTCCGTAATTTTACGTAAAAAGGTCTTGTTTCTGGTAAAAATCACTATGAGCAACCGTTCGTTTTGAAGAGTAGTAACTTTTCGTCCATAGCAGTATAAAAAAGTACTGAGTGAAAAAAAAAACATTTTCGTAATTTTTACGTAAAAAAGGTCTTCTTTCTGGTAAAAATCACTATGAGCAACCGTTCGTTTTGAAGAGTAGTAACTTTTCGTCCATAGCAGTATAAAAAAGTACTGAGTGAAAAAAAACATTTCCGTAATTTTTACGTAAAAAAGGTCTTCTTTCTGGTAAAAATCACTATGAGCAACCGTTCGTTTTGAAGAGTAGTAACTTTTCGTCCATAGCAGTATAAAAAAGTACTGAGTGAAAAAAAAAACATTTCCATAATTTTTACGTAAAAAAGGTCTTCTTTCTGGTAAAAATCACTATGAGCAACCGTTCGTCTTGAAGAGTAGTAACTTTTCGTCCATAGCAGTATAAAAAAGTACTGAGTGAAAAAAAAACATTTCCGTAATTTTTACGTAAAAAGGTCTTCTTTCTGGTAAAAATCACTATGAGCAACCGAACATGTTGAAAATGAACATGTTGACTATAGATAGTTACTTGACTTAATTGATAAATTTTGGAACTTTTTAATTTGTTTAAGTTAATCAAGAATTTTTGTAGAAAAAAAATAGATAAAACAGTTTCTGTTGAATCTTTGGCAAGATAGTATAAAAATTCAAAATGGCGGCCATAAGAAAACAAAAACTTGACTGTTGTTGTGCAAAATCTAGAAGGCTTAGAAATTTTCTGAAAACGGCATTTAATTGGCCGAGGTTAAAAATATAAAACTACCAACTTACGTTGCAATAGATACAATAGTTCTGAAGATATTGTTATTTAAAATAAACGGATTATTTTAATTTTTTTGACAATAATCCGAAACTAATCAAGATACCGGGGTTTTCTTCATAGGTGTTTTTCAAACTTCTAATTACACAACTTTTGTCCCATTTAACCGAATTCGTATCTCTCATAGTTTCTGAGATGCCAATGTTGAGCATCGAAATTGTCACCACCCTGTATAAGATTATAAGAGACAATTATATATATATATATATATATATATATATATATATATATATAAAATTAACAGTTTATAATCATCTGCTGATGATGCTAACATGGTTAGCGAAACGCGCGTCCAGTGTAAAAGTAAAAGTGATTTGGTGTATTGTGGTGATTTAATGTTTTTATTTTGCTGTGTAACACCAAAGGTTCCAACCCTCAACTGTAACAATTAAAAGCCAAGTTTAAGCCCGAAGAATGGATGGTTCAATTTCAATCGACAATTATCTAATTTTTGATTTAATTTCAACGATTACTTACTTATTACATACTTTACTGACTGCCATTACTCGCTGACGAGTATTTGACACGCATCAGAAGATGGTTACGCAAGGCGTCTCGTGTGCCGGCGGTACGGCATCGGCATCCAGGTTTTGCTTCCATATAACATGGTGGGGATTACTACTGCTCGATACACTGCAACTTTCGTTTTTGTGCTTAAATCATTGTTTTAGAAAACCCTGTCTTTTAATTTCCAGTATGCTCTTGAGGCGATGCTGATTCTGTGCTGAATTTCAGAGATATTTGCCTTTTCCGAAATCAAACTGCCGAGATAATTAAATTTCGATACATATTCCAATAGTTCTTCTCCGATTTTTATAGCGCTGTTATGATTTTCCGGGGGTGTGCACATGATTTTAGTTTAATCGATGTTCAGTTTAAGGCCCAAAGTCTCGTATGCCCAGGTATATGTGTTCAGCATTTCCTGTAATTGCTGTAACGTATTTGTAACTAGAGCGCAGCCATCAGCGTATTGGAGTTCTGTGATGAATTTTATACGTATTTTTGCCCTGAGTCTTTTGATGGTGAACAGACCGCTATCATACCTGTATCTAATATACATTCCTCTTTCCTGCACTTTGCTGTCAACTATAATAGAGAGCGCTGCCTAACTCCTGTATTTGTCAGGAAGGGATCGCTCAGTGATCCATGATGTAACACTCTCGACTTGTTGTTATGGAGGCTTTTACACACAGTAAGAAATTTCTTGGGCACTTCGATCTTTTGCATAATTGCCCAAAGTGCATCTCTGTTTAGAGAGTCGAAGGCTTTCGTTAGGTCGATGAATGCAACATAAAGTTTACTCTGCTGTTCCTTTACTTTTTCCTGTAGTTGGCGGATGGAGAATATGGAATCAACGGTAACGCGGTTGGTGCGAAAGCCCGTTTGCGACTCTGGGAGGATGTATGTGGGTGAAGGCGGTTTGACATAATTTTTGAGAGAACTTTTCCTCCGATAACCAGTAGTGAAATGCCTCGGTAGTTTCCGCAATCTGATGCACTTCCTTTGTTATTAAATATATTCACTATATTCGCGTTGCGAAAGTCCTGAGGTACCTCTCCGCTTTCCCATATGACATCGAAGAGAGCCGATACATATAGCTCTCTTCGATTTCAACGATAAGAAGTCATTGAACAACCTATTAAAATGTTAAACTTGTAGTCCTGAACTCTCCATGAACCGAGTTTGTACAACTGGGCTTTAGTGAGTGTTCTTGTCTGCAAACAGTGGTTGCTAAAAATTAATTTAATTAGTAAATTATATGTAATTAATTTAAGTATGATTTTCAATTTAATAACTGAAATAAACTTAAAAATTGTCCATTTTTAATGGAAAATCGTGAATAAATATATTAATAATTTATAAATAAATGGTCAAATAGAAAAACTAACCCAAGCAGCATCTATCTGACTTCGAACTAAATCTGACCTGAAGCGACGTCAGACTTTGTGCAAATTTAGGTCGGGTGCTGGTGATACGACTGGTGACGTCGCTTTCCTATTAAAAGTGGCGTCGTTGGATCTGAGTCGGTAAATCCAATGATCTGTCGACGTACAAAATAACAACGTACCATTTTTATTAATTTCCCAACGTCGTTCAACGTTGGCTTTCACGACGTACCTATACTTGAACTAGCCCGACGTCTACCCGTTGTCCGAATAGGATACGTCTCACTGATACTCCCTAAAGTAACGTCCTATTATATTTTGTTGTATTTTATGTTCATATTTTTAACCTAATTTACGTATCTCTATTTACGTCCGTAAATACAACCCATTAAGTAGCATTTGCGGCCTAATAAACATCATGAACATAATCTAATAAAAAGTTTTTGTAAACAAACTTAATTTTTTTTATTATGGCTAAAAAAACACTAAAAAGGCATTTAGACATTCATCTACATTTTACAGAAAAAGGTCGAGGCTTTTGCAAAATAATAATAGTAGTAGTGATGTCTTTCCTCCGCCCACGAATGCTTTTTATCCGGAAGAGATGCTGCATTACACTAGTGCATCTTAATTTAATTTTTTAGCTTAGGAAACCAGCAGACCCCATCCTCCTCCCAGATGTGAGGTACTGGTTCCAATTCTTTTAGATTTTGTATATACTATCTTAAAAAAGTGGCTGCCCATTGTTTTAAAGAGAAAACAAAAACTAAAATATAGTTGCACAAATCCACAAATCACTGATACGCAAAGTGAGGTTACGTGGCGTACGTTGGAATTATATACGTCATAATACGATTGCCGGTCGTCCGGTTTGATGACTTCGGTCGTGTGAGACGACCATAGAGACGACTAATGTTGGAGACCCGGTCGGAATTGGTATATTGGTAGTTCATATTAAGTCGGACACAGAAATCCGCCATTCTTAACAGGTATCCGATTGTCAGCCATTTTAAAATCGTTTTTTGTTTTTAAAATTTATATTCACATTCCGATTGTGACCGATTTCTAGTAGAATAATATTGATAAGGTTGAGTTTGGGGGGAACCACAGTACAGTTTTATGATTAAACCAGCTAGAAAATAAAAAAAATATTTTGCGAGTTACTTTTTTATAGATATTTTTATTTCATAAATCTACCTACTTTTGAAGGCGCTCGTTGTTTTCCGGAGTATTTTAATCAGTTATATCAAAAAAGTGACTTCCGTTGACAAAACTGATGTCTAGATTAATGATTCAGAATTATTATAATATGAAATTTGATAGGCACTTATAGTTCTATTCGAGGAGTGATTATGAATCCATTTGTAATTAGGTAGTTTGGTTAGGTTTTTATGTATTCTTGGTAGCAAATATGAAACCAAACGTAACGTAAGTGCTTAGCGACGAATTTTAAGTAACTAAACGTTGGTAACTATGACGTTGGTAATTGGTAGAATTACATTCCCTATTAGGTCAGATACCGACGTCGAGGCGACCCGAATCTGTATTCCCCATTTAGGTGCAAATAAGGGTCGTCAGGCGGTCGAATCGACGTTGGTACCCGACGTCGGGTTTATTGAACGCGACGTATACCCGACGTTAGATAACGTCCAAATGCTACTTGGGAAGGCTTTGGTATGGCACATATTTACAAAATAAAACAATTTGCGTATTTCTAGAACAAAAATATCTAAATTTTGCACACACAGGGTATTTTTTATGTAATTTAAACCATCGTTTTTAACATTTTCAAGCATAATTCAATAGTCTCCCCTTTTCAGCCTTTGCACGAGGTCCGCCGGGGCATCCGCTCCCCCCTGGGCGTCATCCGCAGGACTAAGGCCTCGTCCACACCTCACCTGTCAGATTCCCAGACCGCGACCGTTGGCGGCGGAGGCAACACCAGGTGCGTACTAATTTCTGTTCTAATTAGCGACCTAAACCCTTCGGCCTGCCCTTCGCTTACCCTTCGATAGGGATGGTGATGTTTAAGAAAATCGATATTTTAAAAAGGCGGTTAATATTGATATTCCGACATTTAGAATTCATATACAGGGTGTTTCGAAAAACATGTGCTATCTCTGGTGGGGAGATTTCTCATGTAAAAAAATATTTATTTCTTATACCTATGTAGGTCCGATTTTGCTTTGTTTCGTAGATACAGAGGGATAAAGTCTTAATAATCTTTTGATTTATTATAATTTTCTTTCAAGTACTTTTAACGATTCGAATGAAATTTTGAGGGTAAAAGTTATTATAAGTGCTACATATTTTAATGCTAAAAAAGTGTCGATAAATTCATTCAGGGACGTGCATTTGGGTTATCACTGGAATATGTTTAAAAAAAACATGTGCACTACTGACTCTTTTCTTTTGATATCAAAATTGTGTAGGCTGTTTAATGCCAATTGAAAGTTATCCCTTGATATTTTGTCGAATTCACCCTCTTTGATGATAAACGCAATTTTATTAATCACAATTAATAAATATATTAAAATAAAAATAAAATTAATAAATTGTATATTTTACTAATTTGTCATTTTACCTAATTTATTATTAAATATTATTACTATTAGTTATTATTACTATTAGTCTAACCTACAGCAATTTCAAATAAAGAAATAATGTTATTTAAGATAAATACAACAAATCTAATTTTAAAAAGTTTTAACATCCTGTAACTATAAAACTATACTCACGTTTATAGAATTCCATACACATGTTTATAGAAACTTTTTTTCATATCTTTGATGAGGAATCAATGAGTATTTACTAAAAACTTTTGCAAGTTAATGATATTGATTTTTTTAAAGGTTGCCATTAGACTTGGATCAAGGCAAATTAATAAAATTGCGTTTATCTCGTCAAGGAGGCAGATATCAACACAAGTGGCGTACATGCTTTTCTGAAAAAAATATTCCAGTGATAACTCATATGCATATCCCCGGTGAATATGTCGACACTTTATTAGCTTTAAAATATGTCGCATTTATAGTAACTTTTACCCTCAAAACTTCATTCGAAACGCTAAAAGTACTTGTAACTAAGCAGAATCGGACCTATGTGAATATGAAAAATAAATCTTATTTTTACGTGAGGAATCCCCCCACGAGAAATGGCACATATTTTTCGAAACACTCTGTATAAACAAATGAAGAATATCAGATTTTTTAGTAACTAAATGGTAGAAACTCACAAAAAAATATATTTCTGACAGAGAAATATGCATGTCTGATTTAATCATTAAAAAAGTTAAAATTCTTAAGCCCATTAAAAATTTACATATTTTTGTTAATATTTTATATTCTACTACAAGTAGTTGAAACCTGGCGCAGCCGAGCCGCCACGACATCAGGAAAAAAATACTTTTTATTCTTTTTTAATTAAATGAAAAACAAAAAATCCGGCGACGACAGTTTTTATAAAGGAGCCAATTAGCTATCTAAAAAAAGCAACTTTCTAGAGCAAGTCGTTGCTTAAGTAGAGACGACAGAGATAAACATTAGCATTTTATATATGTAGATAATTAAAAATGTGTTTACCAAAAAGTAATAATTACTATGCTGTTTATTACTATCTGTTTTATTTTTAAAACATCGTCAAAATGTTTCATACATATTTCTCTATAAAATATAGCAGGAAAATTTTTAGATTGTCTTTAAAATTTGCGTGGTATTTTCTTTCCTTAAAACACCCTGTGCAATAATGTCGTGTGTAATTTTTTCTAAAATATAATTTTACGGTTAGAGCCATGTCTCCTGAGCATTTTGTTTTTTGGATCATGTCAATACATGCCTTGTTAATTTTTAAGAGCGAAATGAATTTGCCACCAACAATCTTTTTCAATTATTATTTTTTTTAAGTTATTTTTCAATATGACAAGGCGGCTTTGGTGATTATTGTGAACTATATACTACTATGAACTTCCCATAATGTTTGTAACTGGGAAATGCTTGGCAGGAGGGTTAGAAGTCGCGAAGCGGTACCAGCTTCAAATGAACTTCGCTTGGTTTTTCAAGAAAAATGGCATAGCATAACGCAATATGACATATGCAGCCTCAATAACAGTATCTATGAACGGACGTATACAGGCAGTTATAGCAGCCAAGGAGGGTAATACAAAATATTAGGATATTTTTTACATTTTTTTTCTGTTTGTATACTTGGGTGTTACAGATGTTTTCTTCAATATCGTTAGTTCTGTTATCATTATTAATGTTTATTAAAACCAGGACTGTATCGTCAGCCTTTAACGTTTTTTTAATTTAGTATAGAGTATCCAATACAGCGTAATATGACGTTACGGCAATATAAATATATTTTAGGAAAATTTACAGGCGCAATTATTGCACAGGGTGTTTTAAAGTTAAAGTAAAAAAACAACCCCTCGATTAACCCTGTATAATATTCCAAATACTAAGATTTATAGAAAAAACAGTTTACGAATTAAAGTTGATATAATTATATACAGTTCACTAAAAAATTCATGAAAATAGGGTTAAAAATAACGAAAATATGGGTTAAAAATAACACTTTTAATGTGACCAAAAATTTCTCCGTTGTGTTTTTTTGCATCTGAGTGTATTACTTATAAGTTGATGTCAAACATTCTCCACACAACGTTTTGTTCATTTAATATAATATATATCGTTACTCCAAATATTGAAAAAATTATCAAAACAATACCGATATTTTTACATATCGATACATTTACCCATCCATACAATCGAATAAAGCGAGGCGGTCGATCGGTCGGGATCGGAATCGTAATGAGATATCTAGAGGGCGCTTTTTGCGTGTTCCAGGAAATGGAGGAAACGACCAGAAGAAGAGGAGCTGTGTTTGGATCCGGCCGGGCCCGACGAAGACGGCTTAGAGAGGGATCCTCTTGGTATGTTTGCACAAAGTATTTTTTTATATATTATATTATTTTGCTATATATGTTATGCTTTCGTTTTATTACAAAATAATGTTTTATCAAACCTTGCCTGAGAATACTATTTTAAGAATGTAAGCTTTAATATGTTTAAAATATGTACACGTATCATATGGGCCCGGTTTTTCATACTCGGTTTAGCGTTAGTTCAGATTTAAACCAAGTTCGAAATGTTAATAGGTTATTCAATGATTTCTTATCGTTGATCTTAGTTTAAAAATGAGGTACTTGACGATTAAAATTGAGCCAGCCCTTTTCGAGGCTTAATCACGTTATCTTGTTCTTAAGGTGCCGTGCAGAATCCAGCGTAGGCGTTCATCTTTCTCTTCCTCATCAGATGGTTCTATTTGCCACGCCCTTTCTAATTTGAAGTTCAATAAAACACAAAGTTTACTTAATCTGAATGAGTTGCATAGAGAGGCCACTAGCTTTTTAATTTTAACAGCCGGGTGGCCGGGGTTCAAAGATATTAATAAAAGGGCGCCACGAGATTATACTCTATGAACTCGGCATAAAAGGTGTTACTATTAAGTAGACTTCAACACTAACCTCGAACTGTTGAGTGCAACTACCATGAACTTCAAATATTCTATAACTCGTTAAACTTAAGTGACTCTAACTTAACTATGAGACTAGACTGCAAATAATACTACTAAGAATGTTTAAGCAATTTATTAAAATATTAAAAGTTAATATTTAAAGAAATGGAAATGAATAAAAGTTGAAAAGTAGAATAAAATTTAAATCAAGAAAACTAACTAAAAGTATGATGTCATAATCCCCCTTACTTAAACTAAGTACAAAATCCTGGGTGGATTACAAATATCAAATCTAAAATTATACTAATCTAAACAGTCTTACTCTAAGGGTTGTATAAACTTGAAACAACTCGGAAGTTCCTCCGGCTGAGCTATGGTGTATAGCTATGTGTGGCTACGACGGTGTACAGCAGCTCGATGTGATATACTTGAAAACTTCCTCCGACTGAGCTACGGCGTATAGCTACAGGATTGCTAAGGCAGTGTACAGCAGCTCGGTGTACTGTCACTGGAGCCCACGGATGTCAGCAGAGGTACAGGTGAAAGGAAGGTGTTGAGATTTCAAATGGTGAACATAAAAAGCCCTAAATAATATTGGTTGTCTTAGAAAAGAGCCTCAATTATAGAACAAGGACTAGCACAACGTGTAGGAGTTAATAAAGGTAATAAAGAAGGACTAATCAAATCTGAACTTTACCTCAACGAGGGTTTATGATGTCCAACGGGTACCTCTACACGGGCAACAGGATGGAATTCTGGACTGTTCTGTGCACTACGGTCTGGATCGGTCTTGTTGCTCTACAATTACGAACAACCAAATAAGACTTAAGAAAGATAACACTCAACTAATCTTTCTACACCCCGTGGGCGTGGAAAAGTCGAAAACCAGACAACAATATAAACAAAAATCAGTTGAGCATTGACTTAGAATAGTCAGAAGAACCCTTCATACCTTGGAAATATTCGGGGACTTCTTGGGTACGTGGAATCGGGATATCGGCCGGAAAATTTTGGCTATTTAATTCCTTACGGAAATTGGTCGGTGGTCCATGTAAACTCAACAAAATCCAACCACGTCTCTGACCAAATGTGTTTCGGAAGCCTTAATCCTTCTTTACGAAGACCTGCTATTCACCAACAGGGAATGCTTCACGAAACGGCAGCCAGTTCTTCACGACGATATTCTGACTGTGGATACACAAGAAGTGATGCAAGGATTCGATTTCCTTCACAAAATCAGATTTCAACCGGAAATCTCCCTCCAGGATATAGATAGAGAACTATATATCTTGACTAATCCAACTCACAAAAAGGCATAAATAAAAAATGGTGTTTTCTCCTCAGCCATATTCCATATCCGGTCAATGAACGAACTAAACTCAGAAATTCCACAATTAAAAGAACGAATTGCACACTGCGATCCACATCAAAAATAACCAATTTAACTACGAAATTTTATCTGATAATTATAAAATTTCAATAACCAAAACAAAGGATAAATAAATCCAAAAACATCTGATTTGATCTGACAGTGACAAGTGACGGAGGTGATGATCAAAGATATAGAGAGATGGACAAAAAGCCTACTACTGCTGGTGTGCCTGATCCAGTGACAATATTGTGTATCTATAGCTGTATATCGCAGTGTATATCGGGTTGCATAATTGTAAAATTTAAATAAAATAATATTTAACAATAAAATTATAGTAAACATGATGCAAAAATAATAGTTATTTGCGATAATTTATGAGCTAGCACACAGAGGTCGTTGCGAGGAAATTTGACTGTTACATATTTAGTGCAGCGACTTGGAGTGCTTGGAAGTCCTGTATGCCTGTCCAATAACGAATATTTCTCAGCCAGGATAGCTTCCTTCGGCCTTTCACCCCTTTTGCCCACCTCCATTTTACCCTGGAGAATTAGACGCTGAAAGTGATAGCGTTCTCCTAGTAGTATGTGCCCCAAATAGGCTATTTTCATCTTCTTGATGATTTCGAAGAGTTTACGTTCGTCTAGACCAGCTCTTCTGAGAATGTCTTCATTCATCACACGGTCGACCCAAGACACTCTTAGCATTCGTCGTAGGGTCCACATTTCGAAGGCTTCAATTTTGTTTATTGTTGCTACCTTCAGTGTCTATGCTTTGACACCATATAACAAAATGGACCAAACATAGCACTTCACCATTCTGTATCTAAGGCTGAAGTTCAAATTCATTTCTGTGAGAAACCTTTGTTTCTATAATCAGGCCTAAGTTTGTACACCCAGGCCACTGGAACGGTCATGGTGTTATTATGTCCCACTCTGATCTTTTATAAAAGGCTCTAACCTATAGATTGTCCAGAAGAATAATCAAAAGAAGGTAAACGGACTAGACTGTCTAGAATATTTCCTAAGACTTTTCCCCTATATTACAGGAAAGTACAGAATCCATAAAGGTTCGACCAAATCCCGGAAATATGATCGAAAACAATCATAAGGGGTCTCAATCGATTAACATTTGCTTAGAAAATTATCAGAATAGAACTGACTCGGGTACCGATACCGATAATATAAAATATAAAGCGGCAGCATTGGCTGCAGGTGTCACTAATAAACGAATCTGTAGCATCAGGAACGGACACTAAAAGTATTTCCGACTTCCACTGTCATTATTTGCTTTAATTTACACAACGTTTCGGTCAGATGTAGCACCTAACTGTTATCAAATGTAATCTAAAATCTAAATCCTAAAACTACTGAGCTTTTGTGATGGTGTTGGAAGCAGTCAAGCGTAACGTTGACCTCTAGGTTTCTATATAGAATAAAATAATATACACAATGTTCTGTGACATCTTTATTTTCGACGAATCACTTCTCAATCTTGTAATATGGATAATATATTATTATTAGCCACTGTTTTACTCTACTTAAAATTAAATTTCTGCTCCTTGTTAAGATTGCAAAGCGTAGACAAGTTTATGTTAAAAAATAATTCAAAATCCAATAGAGAGGATAAGAAACAGAAAAGTATAACTCTTGTATAACTTTGATAGACTCTAGAAAATAAATGCAATTTTTATAACATGGTAAATTATCCTCTATTTCGCAAAATCACTCGAAATGAAACAGAGTTTATAATCGAAACAACAGAAACAACAAGATTTGAAGAGAACTCATTAAAATAGCCATTATACGGTGAAATACACCTTCTTGGGCTCAGCGACTCGCGAACGGTGCGCTAAGTTCTCATCGAATTAGCATCTTAATTAATTTAATAAAAATTAATTAAGCGCCGGGGGTGGATTAGGCCTGTTGACATTCGGGATGAATGAAATAAGATTTTTTTGGCAGTCTGTTTCGTTTCCATTAATATAATGGACGCGATGGAAAATTAACAGGGAATATTTGAGTTTGACGGGATAGGTTGGGACTTTGGGCTGGTGGAGGTAAGGCCTAGTGATTTGAAATTCAAATAAGGTTTGAAGCTTTTGTGTCCCTTTGTTAATGAGCTCTTTCACAAAAAATAAAATACCCAATTCAAGGTAAAAATCTGAAATAGAAGACTATCTTCAGTATATTTATCCAAAAAAAATAGTTCCATGACATTGAATAATTTTTTTATAGGCCCTCAAAATTGCTTTAATTTGAAATAATTTTAGAGTGCCAATTGATGATGTATGAAAAATACGCCCAATCACATTGCAGAACCGTGCTCGTGCGCCAGCCAACAACTGGCAACATTGCGATTTGATTTGACCAGCACCACCTCAACTCAAGGCTAGTCGACATGATATGGGCAAGGCAAATATGGCGGCGAAGGCAGCGCATTATTAAATTGTTTACCTTTAACCTGAAAAGCCGGTAGTGGTTTCTCGTTCCGAAATAATTAATTATCTTTAGTTTGTTGTACTTCTGCAACACGTTTGTTTAGTTCTTAGAGTTCAGTGCATGGTGTGATCAGAAAATTGCGATAAAATAACAGTGTAATAAAAATCCAAACCAGACATTCCACATAGGGAACTTCAAACTTTTGTGCTTGTCGTACTCCTCTATTATTAATTATTTTATGGTAAGAACTAGAAGTATTTATCAAGATATTACACCTAAATGAGTAAAAAGCCTTCGCCGCCAGTCTGCATATTACTTTATAATGGTTACTTACAATAATCAAAAGATAGGTATTAAAGGGTAGGTATTAACATTTTATTGTAGCATGCCTTTTACATGCTCTGTTCCAAATTGTCACAGGAATTATAGAGGGGGTCCCAAGATTTCTGCTTTTATATTCCCCAAAAATGACGAGCTTCGTAAAAAACGGTTGACAGCTATTAAAAGAGATAATTTCACTCCTACTAGTAGTTCTCGGGTAAGAAGCGCATTAAATATGCCTCAAAAAGACCAAAGGCAAAAAAAGCCTCTGTTACCCTAGTGAGG